TAAAAATACAACAAAACCTGAGTTGTAATTGACTTGTAATGTCAGACATCTATTTTAATAAAATATATGACAAAATCAAAAGAAAGTAAAAGAGGTTAGTGCTGTATGTCAAGCTCGCAACTGAATTATAACAGCTGCCTACCCCTTTTTTTTCGGATCCACTTATCCCCTCGGATACCACTTACCGGTGGCAATGTCGGACTCGAACCGACTAAAACCGCACGCCGTCTCAAGTACCAGTGGTCGGGGAAACAGGTGTACCCTAGAAAAGAAATCCCTGGTGCCCCGACTGAAGGGAGTTGGAGAATTTGTATGTGTGTGTGTAATCCAATTCATCATTCAATACGGTATGTGCTAGTGGAAATTTAAACTACTTAAAATATATTTGATTATTCATATTAATCATATCAACAGTATAATTACAAAATCACAAACGCACGATAGCATTTTAATCATTTAAATTTTACGTAATTACACAGTTAACAGATAAACATGACACTTAGTATCTATTCAACGTAAAGACTTTCATGCAAATGCAATTAAATACATAAAAGTACACACGGAAACAAAAGACCAAAACTAAAAAATGAAAAAAATATAATAATAGACAACAAAAATAAAACGAAACAGAACAGGCGCCCTAATAATTAGGTTCGGCATCATGGCTTCGTATGGAATGTCTGTATGATGTGAATTTCATTGAAAATATATCAATGTTTTCCACTGTCATAGACCTTTCGTTATACAGCCTTGACATGCGTGTCATATGTATATAAGATTAGCTATTTGTTTAATTTATAAGTTTTTTTCTATTTATTTAATTTTGACGCGTGTATTTGAAGGGTTCCACAAGTTTAGAAGCCGTTAGATTCTTTGGTAAATTTTAAAACAAATGTTAAATTCCCTTGTTACTTAGGGTCTACTTTTACTAAATTGCAGGTAATAATGAATTGAAAAAAATTATGAAAGAACATTTTTAGGAAACGAAATAAACGTGGTCAAGATTGTAGTTTTATTCTTAGGGTTTACACACACTTTAAACATACACACACACATTTATTATTAAGGTGAGTTCAACAAAAAAAAGTTCAGTGGGCTCAAAAAAAAGTTTAAACATAAACATACACAGGACAGGATTGTACAGGACCAGTTGTTGTGAAGAATCGTGGGGGAAGCCTATGTGTTCAGCACTGGACGATTCAGCTGAAACGATGATAATACATTAAATTACGAGTAAGATTAACACCGACAGAAACATCATTGCGGTTTATAATTAAGAAAATTAAATGTATGAAAAGTCCTCTCGCATGCTAACCTCAAGTGCTATTGTTTAAAGTTTTCGGGCCCTTTCTAATTAAGGACTCCGAAGTGGCGTTTAGAATAGAAATGTGGGCCTTACAGGCTCTGCTTGTTCATAAAGTAGGATAACTACAATTAAGAAACGACTTCTTAATGTTAATTATATAACTTTAAACAATAATGTATTTTGCAGAACTCTTGTAAGTAGGAAAGCCAAATCTATGTGTATAGGTTCACAATAAATTTTTCGACCCTATTAGTATCTATACAACTTTACAAATTTCAGCCCTTGGGACGCGGCATAACATCCATTCTTCTACAAGGTATTGACTACGTAGTCTCAAATAATCAGATGACAGGCTTAATACACGAACAATTTTTTCTCTTTTGTGTAAGATTGTTTGGTTCCCTTGTCAAGCATCGGTACGAGTTTGGTCGGTTTAAAGAAAGCAGTAATCAGTTCTTCGTGCAATCTTAAAGTTCTTTTATTTAATATAAATTTGGAAAGTATCATTACATTTACTTTAATAGGATTGGACATCAATTTGACATTATTCAATCATGAACTTTTTCTTTTTCGTCTCCAAATAGGATTATTTAAAATTTTCTTTAGCCTTTCTTTTTAATAACTTGAACTTATAAATAGTCCGTGATGGAAGAAGTTCAGTTATTACTATTAGACTATTGCTCTCGAATATGTTTGTGAGTGTGTGTGTGTTCCTGCATGTGTAAGTGTGTGTGTGTGTGTGAGTGTGTGTGGGTGTGTGTGTAATGATTTTGTGTCACATAAGTGAATCGGGGTCATATAAAGAATATCTGAAAAAGTTAGTTCGTTAAGTCGATTGATCCAACCGGTTTACAGCTTATTCACAGATTTGTCATCGAGTATTGGAAATCACCCACCTTCCATCTTCTTTAAATTATGCTCCAACTCTGTTTCCTCTTGTATTTTTCTTAAGTTACCATCGTTTCTCTTCTCTTTTCTCCCTTTCTACTTTAGGTACGAAGTTCACTTTGACAAACAACAAAAAAGGAATTTAAGGGATAATTTCTAACACCCTAAAATGAAATCTTTGTTAAATATCGGGTAAAATAAAACAAAATTAAAACATGTTAATAAATAGAAATTATTGGATTGAACACTGATTGGAAATTTGACTCCTCACGGGATAGCCGAATGGACTAACGCCAAAAAACAAAAGTCGTCAGACAATGTGACATTACTAAACGAAATCATCAATCAATCACAGTAATGTGACACTATTTTTCAAACTGCTTCAAACCAACCTCGAATCAAAGCATACGCTTTCCAGAAAATGTCTACTGCTAAATAATTTTACTAGTTTATGGAAATTTAAAAGCTTGTGACAGGGACATCCCTGTGGATGGAATTCGGGCGTGACGTAAACAGCTATCAATCATCCTTACTAGGGTTGGCACGCGAAAATTTCGTGAATTTATGTAACATTTTTAAAGGAGGTTTTGTTGTTTCCCTGAGTTTTATTTTATAAGCGTGTATTAGAATACCGATGATTTTGCAAAAGCAAAATACCTTGATATCACTTGCTTCCTGATAATTATGAAAAAGTCATACAAATACATACATATTTACCACGGAAATATATACGTATCTAAAATGGAAATGCGATCTTTTTTGTTTTACATTTGCTGGTACATGGCATTTTTATTGTTGTTGGGTTGTTTTTTTAATATGTTACTCAACGTATTGGTAAGTAGGAATTTTCCTGGTACTGATTTCAACCAAAATAACAGTCAAATCAAAACGTGTAAAAGTAATTCATCAAGTTTTTTTTCATCAGATAGTGCTTTTCGAGAGGAAATGGTTTACATTTAACATTAAATAACAATTCTCCCGATATATTGTGGACCAAATAACCATATCCTTACTAGTTGACAATAGTAAAATGCATCAAACTAAGCATTCAAACAAAAAGAAAGACAGTTCCATATTAGGCTAGTGATCTTGGAGTAAGTTGATTACTACAGAAAAATGGACACGAAATGAGAAGTTCCTCCTTTGTCCAAAGTCGGTTACAACACCGCTATAGTTGGAATTAATTTTTGAGCATGGTCAAAATTTTAATTCATAGTATATACTTATAAAGAAGACGTAAAAGTTTTCATTCAATTTTCACGACAAACATCTATTATGATTTAAAGGAAATCCTAACAGACAGATAGCAATGTCTAGGAATAAAACGTGTGTATTTTTCCTTATGAGGCGAGAGAACCTCTGAGCCCCATTAAGTTACCCATCCGTCAGCTGACTCCGGATACTGACAAGGGACGAAAAGCCGTTATTACTCTTCATCCTTACAATCTTACTCTCACAATTCAAGAGAAATTAAAAGATATAAAGGAAGGAAAAGGTCTAAATATAAATTACTAACCACATTCCGTCCTTTATAATCTTCGCGACGACATAACTTATCTACAATTTCCTCAAGTTTAGCCGAAAACACCCATGGAAGTAACGCAAAACGTTTCCTAAGAGAATGTAAGAAATCTCATCACAATCTAAGAACACCATTGCTAACAACAAAAGAACGAGGAAGCTACGAAATGATATTTTTTCTCCTAAATTCAACAATTGAAACAAAAGTAAATTATGGGTCGGTCCGAGAACGGTCTAAAGAATTATGAAAAATGGTGAGATTCTTATTATTGTATTATACATGCCGACGGTCGACGTCGACGCCAACTAACTCGATTTTGTTAGGCGGATTTTTTTAACTTACTTTTATTGTTCTCAAATTGCTATTTTTGGACGATTTATTTCATGCTTATAAACCATCTGAAACTATTTCAATGTTGTTTCTTAATCTATATATATATAAATGTTATGTTGGTTTGTATACGCTTCAAAAACTAAAGAAAAAAGTTCTGCACCGATTGAGATCAAATTTTGCCACGATGTTCAAAACGCTTCGAGGGTGGTTTTTATCTACTTTTCGTATCAGTAACATACCGGCGATCGCGAGAAAATAGTTTTTTTAACGTTCGTACTAGCAACCGCGCCATCTGCCGGAATGAGTCTGCCATGTGAACCATAACCTCTCCTCGATTACATTGTTATTAACGAAAAAAAAAACCTAAAAATTGGCATTCTATTAATTATATACAATCTGAATTAAATATTAAATTAACTATTACATATTGAGATAGACAGTTTTTTTTTAAATGTTCTCTAATTTTATAATTCTTGTCTATTTTATTTAACTAATAATATTTAATACTTTTAAATACTGTATGTCATGTGTCATTATTTATGTGTCGTAATATAATAATAGGCATTGCTTGTTTCTTTCTATAAGTCATTTAGTACTCATGAACATACTAGTTTAGACTCACTCATGTTGAATAATATTGTACCGTCTGTGCTAGACATGGATTTATAAGAACGTAATGGAAATTGATTGTAAAAATACGTTAAGTTAAGTATTTAAATAAGTTAAGTGTTAAAAGCAAGTAACTATTATTATTGCAAATGAATACTTAATTACATTTTTTCCACTCCTACGATAGGCAACATGGTATGGCATGGCAAGATTGATATGCTGCTTCGTAGTCGCGTTGGGATTTCACTGTAAGTAGAGTTTAACTTTGTGCATTGAAATTTGTCACCAAAATCTGTCCTCTCTCTCAACGTTGTCGAGCTACAGGCATGAGAACCATGAGAGATGGATAAAAAAATGATGAGAAGAAGACTTTTTAATATGACTGAGGAAGAGCGGGCATCTGTACAAGAGAGGAACAGTCTAAGCGCCTTCCAGATGCGTAGCGTGTTCCTCTCTTGTACGGATGCCTATCAGATCGAAGAGCAGCCAGGCTTGAGGATGCACAATGGCGAGCACGGGCGTCGCGTGCTGCAGCAACAGATTTAGTTCGTTCTCAACAGAATGAACACAAAAGAGCGAGAATAGTTGAAACACGTAACCAAAGAACAGTAGACCTCAATCTACAATGTAATCGTCTTGCATTCTGGTGCTATTCAGCTTTTGATTATAGTTCAAGTCGACATGTGATCTTTGGCCAGATATGGCATGTCTGTACGAATGCTGCTATGTACATATGTATCCGGAATAACAAAGTGAAACAAACATAGAGCATTTATTATAGTTTTATTGCTTTTCAAAATATTCGCCGTGATGATCGATGCATACGTTGGAACTAATTTTAGTACCACTTTTTCCATTCTGAATGTGGTATCTCCAAAACGTGCATTTCAAAAAATTCCATCAAGATTGCCATCCAGACACAGCGTCTATTTTTACACTTCGCTTAAAACTGTTCGTACGTGCTGAAAATCGCTTTCTAATAGTCTGTTGCTGAGTGTTAAAACAGGAAATAGTCTCTTGCTTGTAAAATAGTTTGCCGCTCCCTAAAAAGCACCATACTATTTAACATAACGTCTGTGAGATTTAAAATTTCCATAAATTGTAACATACGCATTTACAGTTTCATTTTGAAGTTATTGTCAATTAATATCACCTTTAGACAAAGACTCATATCATTGGCACACTAGTAAATCATAACATTATTTGCATGTCACAGAAAAGAGTTAATAATAAATTCTATAGACTCCATCTAGCAATCACATACAAGTTCTATCAAACAATTAGCTATGGCTTTTAAGATAACAATAACTAAATATTGAAATACAACTATGTTTTGGTAAAATGAAATAACCTTCGGAATATTCTCTGACTCACATATTTTACATATATCAAATTCAGACCAAGGAACTGAGAAAACTAATAAATTAACAAGTTTTTACGATGTTATGTTATGGAAAATGATACACATCGTATGTTTATTGGTGGAAGGGTATGGACTTCGTGTGTTGAATAGAACCTCGACCGAAGTAAATGACACGCAAATGTATGAAAAGATATCGGATCGGGATATCGTACATTCATTAAATTCCGTGTCATTGGCCTTGTATTCTGGGTGGATATTTGTTAATAAAGGATAAAGTGGGTTTTTTATTTGAGAGTTTTGCTTAGTAATAGTTGCGCGTAGTGTGGTTAGAACCAAATAAATAAATAAAGCGTAAAAGCCCAGTACCTAGTTGAGTAGAGTAGATGGTTTTTACTTAAGAGAACTATTTGATAAAAGGGTTAAATTAACTTGATTAAGACCGAATTTATAGTGGAGGCGCAAGTAAAGAATAGTGAGTTTTTATCATCATCATCATCAACAGCCTTTAATAGTTCAATGCTGGATATGAGCCTATTCTTAGAAAGGGGGTTTTGGCCCCTGTTTCTTGTTTTTGGGGTACGGGTTGATGTAGGGTTTGTGTCAAGTTTTCAAGATGAATAGGGGTGGTGACACTTTATATTCTTAATCCGTCACCACAAATTAAAATCAACAATCTTAAATTAAATATTAAACAGTTTTTACAGCCTTTTAGATTCTGAGAGATAATTTTAAGTTAGTTGGTTGAAAGATGGGTAGTGGGTGTCACTGCCTTGATCAAAGCTTTTAATCCCACGAATGAAATGGGATAATGCTGACGAAATCCATCTTTAAATTCAATAAAGTGCGCGTCTTGCATATATTGTCTATTGTTAACCCTACAAAATCTAGCGGTTCTTTACCGCTAAGATTATAAGACTGAGGATTAGAGTGCTCAAAAATTAATAAGAAATTGTTTCTGAATATATAATAAATGAAAACAAAATTATTTAGAAATTTCTTTAGCCGGATTTTCTGTAGACAGTGTTTTGTTTTAATTTAATGGTATTAAAATAGAATGTAAGAATCTGTAACACGAATTATTGGTGTAGTCAATTTTATAATCAGCACTTAAACACGATAATGTTTTAATTTTCTTCACTTCAAACATAGGTTATCGTAGCAGGTACATTTTTTAAACTAAATTCAATAATAATAATAATATAATATACTAACATATTCACACAACGTATCGTATATCTGGGTCTAATATAAACCTATAATATATATGTATTTAGAACTATGGAAGTATGTTTATCAGCAGCCTGATTATATTATAGTACAGACTCTGCCTATTTTGGGATCAGAAGGCTGTGTGTGAGATGTATGAGGTTCATCAACAGCCTTTAATAGTCCATTGCTGAACAGAGGCATCTCTTTAGAAAGGAGGTGTAGGCCCACTTTACCACACTGGCCAGAAGGATTGGTTCAAGTTTTCCTTTTCTTTGTAGTCCAATTATTCTTCAGAGCTTGCTCCCTCATTCGGCTCATCGTAGGACACCCATGCGATAATAATATTCTTAATACGTCACCCCACGCACCTAGACCGTGAGTTGTGAGGTTATTTTTTTATTATTATTATCATTATTTAACAATCATCCAAAAATCCATATCGGCACCTTATACTCGAAGTAGTTGGTTTTGAAGATAAATATGTAAATAATATAGAATTAAAGGACTAATATACTGTTATAAGGTATACTAGACAATAAAGAGTAAAGTTTGAAATATCTGTGTTTCATTAAACCAGCTAACATAAACTCAAATTGTATTGTTTGGCTATTTGGATCCATTATAAAAGCACGGATCTGTACTGTTTAAAAAAAAATACCCATTAAAAAGAATTTGATCAAATTTGATGCAAGTATAAACGGTTTCTTTATCCGTCGTACAATTTTAATCAAAGAGGGTTCCGGGTTGCGGTATTTTAATAGGAGGGAATTAATAATTATAAGCTTGCAAACCAGTTTCGTTTGGCTGGAATACTTTCTCAGAGTTGGAAATTATTTCACTTTAGGAAAGTTTCACAATTATATGTATAGAAATACTGTGTGTACAATCTCTTTCTAATATATAAAATTAAATGTGTCTGTTCCTAGTTTATATATCGTTCATTCTAACTTTATAAAACTTTGCATACTCGGTACTTAGATGCTTAGAAGAACTTAACTTCACTTTAATTTGACTACATAAGTGATAGAAAATTTAAGTCAGTATTAGTTTTATGACGCCGGGTATCATGACATTCACTCTAGTAGTGTATTTCTCAGTTTACATAAAGGACGATTAATTATCATCTTATCATCCATAATTATATTATAAATGTAAGTTTGGTCGTTTGTTACGCTTTCACGCCTAAACCACTAAACCGATTTCAAAAATTCTTCTACCAATGGAAAGTTCCTTTATCAGCGAGTGACCTAGGCTACTTTTTATTGGAATAAAAGACATGCACTCGGGCGGAGCCTCGGGCAAATACGAGTAAATTACAATTTAATATAAGTGGGCACAATTTTTCCAAATGTAATTTATTACGACGTTCTTTCCTGTAGAATGTTATTATTTGAATCATTATTTTTTTTTTAAAACAATACAAAAGCCACTTCATGTAAGTGGCTTTTGCATTGTTTATTAATGTAATGTTATTTCGACAATACAAAATATCATTTTTGAAAAATTGTTCAATAACCGGTCAAGTAAATATATATCTTAACAGTGTAAAAAAATACATATTTTAAATGAGTAGTAATCTACAATTAAGATTATGATTACAGGAAACATCGTCGCTGTTTATAATGTTCGCAATAATTATGAGAAACCAAAAGAGATAATTAAACTTCGAAGTCGTGAAAATAGAAATAAATTTTAATGTGATAAGGCTCCATTACTTTTGATATCCCACTTGGGTATGATATCCTGAAATCCTGAAAATGAGACTCTTTTACGTAATATAAAGGTCCTGAATAAATATTGCACTTTATTATAATCTTCATAGTATTGGCAATGTTCTTAGTGGGATGCAAAAACATTGTATAATCTAAGCTCCAATGTAATAAAGTTGAATTTCTTTTAACTTCTTACCGAACAGAACAGAACTATTAAATACAATTTATAGAACATACGTACGACTGCCTCGGTGGTGCAGTGGTAGCGTATGCGACTGCTGTGCTGAGGTGTTGTGTTCGATTCCCGGGTCGGAGCAAATGTTTATATTTACAAAAAAAAAGTGAATAAGTATTCTATGAGTCAATCTAGCTTTCATAATACAAGCTCTACTTAGTTTCAAACTAGATGGCATTATGTGTCATATTTGTAAGAAACACATTTATCATCTACATTTTATACTTCATAACAGTCTTATACATCGATACACCAATAGAAGGGTTGTTTTTATCAAAAATGATTTAATACAGGTCTGTTGTAATTTAAGAGATGGGGTATCAGGCCCTTTATTTAAATACAGCTAATGACTTTTTGATTAGGAAAGTTTTAAGTACGTTTGTATAACAATATTTTAGTATTTTCTTATTTTATTAATTATGACTGTATTTCTGGTAGAATAACTGTTTTTTTTTGGTAATGATTTTGATACGTTATTAGTAGCATGTTGTGGGTTCGATAGCCACATGGAACAATATTTTGTGTTATCCACAAATTGTTGTTATGACTCTGGTCGTTCGTTGTATCCGCTTCATGTATGTTTGTCAAGTTCCTCACGACACAAGATAAAAAAAGATATATTTTCAAGACACTTTTTTGTATCGCACTACCAACCTGTGAAACGGCTGCAGTATTTCCGGATCGATACGACCTTCAAACCTTCAATAAAAGAGCGTACTCCTTTCTCAAAGGCTGGCAACACGCTTGTGACTCCTGAGTTGCAGACGTTCATGGGCGGCGGTAATCGATTTTCAACAGGTGACCCGTCTGCTCGATTACCTCCTATTGCATAAAAAGAATATATATATATATATATATATATATATATTGTATAAGTTGTCTTTAACAAAAAGAGAAAAAAAAAGGATTAAATAATAATTATACCTACGTTAAATGAAAGAGACTATTTTGTAAATTTTAAATAATATAAGGGCACGTTATATAATTTCCTTAGCTCCAAGATAAGTATTGAAATTCTGGCACAATC